CTTCTCTGTGGAAAGGATGCTCGAGCGGAGACTACCTGAGGGCTAAGCAGGAATTCACAGGCACGAGGAGGAGGAGTGCACCCAGGACGGGAACAAGCTGCATTCAGTCCTACTGCTGAGGCAGAAGATGGTACCAAAAGGTAGGCAAGGAGCAGACCCCACAGAGCCTGCTAGACCGAGGCAGAGCTGACGTTTATTCCAAGAAGTGTGGGGAGGATCTTGAGCCGAGAAACGGCACCATCCAACGTCTCTCTTTAGAAGATCGCTCTGGCTGCAGTGTGAAAAAGGAAAGGAAATGGGACACGAAGGGAAAGTAGAGACGGCCAGTGGGGGAGGCCATGGGCAGGTGGTCGGGCGCTGGGTTTGGGGTGGTCAGCGACGGCCTGGAGGTGGCCGTGGCTGGGACAGATTCAGGACCACGAACAGGACCCGCAGAGGGCTGGCTACAGGATGTGGGGGTGAAGGAGTGGGAGGTGTCCAGGAGAACTTCCAGCTTTCCAGCTTGAGCAGTGGGTGGGTGGAGGCAGAGAGGAGCTGGGGACACTGGCGGCAGAGCCGGGATGTGGATGGAGGCTGGTCGTGAGTCAGTGTGGTCTGGGAAGCAGGAGGCTGCGCATGGAGCCCAGAAGAGAGAAGGTGGAGGGAGTGACTGAGATCAAGGGAGGGGGAGCCTGGGGGCCACAAAGAGGGGATGGGCAGCTCTGAAGAATCAGGGTAGCAGGAAGGCCTGGAGGCAGGAGTAAGCAGGACTGTGAAAAGCAAAGGCTACTTCTCTCAGGCCGAGGCTTAGACTCCACCTCCCCTGGCGGAGCCTCACTGCACTGCACTGCCCAGATGGGAGGCCACCTCCTTCCCCACGTCACCTTCCTCCTCCTCCTCAGAAACCAAGTCACCCTCAGGCCAGCTCAGGGGGCCCCTCCTAGTGGGGGCATCCCAGGTCTTAGCGGGTTTGAATCCCAGCTCCACTACCCCTGATAGCTATGTCACTTTGGCCAAGAAACAGAGCCATGCTTTCCTCGTCTATACAGTGGGAGTGACTTAAGTACCTACCTCATAGGGCTATTTGAAGATGAGCTTGTGAAGTGCTCAACAGAGAACCCAGCACACAGTACGTACTAAATAAACGTTACTATTAATAATGTCCCGCCCACCTCTGGACAGTTAGTCATGCCCTCCACCTATGCCTCCTCCACTTGGGAAGTAGCTGCAGGTCTGTGCCTCCCTGCCTCTTCCTAGACTGCACCAGTTCATGGGGCTGTACAATAGGCTGGGCCCAGTGCTGGCTGAAATGCAGGCCTCCTTTATTTGTAAGAATTATTTCAAATTTATTAAGAATGCCAAGATGGTGACCGCACGATGTCAGGCCAGGTGTGGGGTCCTTCTAGACACAGTGTCCTTGCAACAAAACACCCGAGCCACCAGCTCTGCCCCCATCCCAGGCTGGGTGAGAGCCTCGCCTGGCCCAGAGCAGGTGTCAATCTCCCTGCGATAGAGTAAAAATGCCAACTGATGTTGAAAGGGTTCCAGATTACCATCTGGAACTTCATTTTATCCTTCCCATAGAGAAAAAACATCACCCTGGCTTTATATAATTGAGGATGGTGAAGTTCCAAGACAGGTGTGACCTGCTAGAGCTCACCACCTCATGAGCTGCAGAGCTGGGAGGTGAACACAGGCCAGCCTGGTGCCCAAGACCTGCCTTGTGCCCTCTGGTTCCCCAGGGAAGTTGGGAGAACTTGGCCCTAAGGGGCCAACTGTGTCAACAAGGCAGCAGCCCAGAGAGAGAGCAGTAGTGACTGGGAGTGGCCCCTCCCTCTGGGACAAGCCACGCAAACAACTGGTTCCCTGGGCACCAGGGCTGCTGCAGAGAGAAGGGCTGGCGAGGGCGAAAGGTCACCCCTGAGAAAGCACTACCTGAGGGCCACAGGCCTGGAGACACACTCTAGAATTAAGACCCAGTCTCCTCTGCTTCGAGCCTTACAGGGGCTGCCGCGAGCTGCAGGGCAACTCACAAGTCTTAGCAGCCTGCCAGAACAGGGAGGCCAGGCCTGGCCCTGCTGCCCACTCTCCCATCTCTGCCCTCCCCCACCACAGGCCTGAACCCGCTTTCACCAAGGCTGTAGTAGATGTTGTTCCCTCCCCACACCTTGCCGCCCTGCCCTTGGCTTCCTAGCCCCAGCCCTCGGAATGCAGTGTCTCACTGCTCCCAGCCTTCTCCCGCCTGGAATGTAAGTGCCCTGGGGGCAGGGGCTGCCTGGCTCCTAGAGCAGCATCAAGTACATCAAGTGCCTAGAGGCTGCATGCACCTCCTGCTGCAGAGGCAATGCTCTCCCCTTCTCTCCAGTCCTGCCCAACTCTCTTTTTCTTGCCCAGGTATCTGCAGCTCCAGGAGTGAAGAGCCCTTGCAAGGGATGAGAATCATCATTCAGTGTGCAGTTTCTTCCTGCACCTATCTTAAGAGGTAATAGAGCCTGGAAGGGGAAGGTGTGGGATTTGAACTCAAGTCTGATGCCCAAGTATCTGGGTCCTCTCTACCCCATGAGTCACCATACCCGGACAGTGCACTTGTTTCTAACCTGTGTCCTCATTTACACATACCCCAGGCAGCCCAGATGCCCTGCCAGGTCAGCAAAACACCAGGGAAGGAGATAGCTCCATGCCAGCCAGAGGCCAGTGTAGAAGTCACCCCTCCCGTAGGCCAACAGAATGCCAGGGTGGCAGACATGCCAAACACTGAAGTGGGAGATACCCCTGTTGTCAGCCAAATGCTTGGACAGGAAGCTTGCCCTGCACCCCAAGTCAGCAAGAGACCAGTGAGAGACTCTTCTCAATACCCAGCTCTACCTGGGCCCAGTGACATGGGTTGGAAGACACAGACCGAATCGCCCAAGGCAAGGCAGTGTTCCCCGGATGGGGTGGGGGGCAGGCGCTGGGATTGCTGCCGCTGGCTGCCTCGGGGAGAATGCTGCAGCCCTGCAGCCGGAGTGGGGCATACTCGGGTGAGAGTTCTCACATGGCACTAATGAAATCAACCACCAGCCTGCCCTCCCCCTCCCCAGGGACCCTCCAGGCTCCAGCTGATGCAATGCCCAGGCCAGATAATTGTTTTCTTCCCTCCTTAAAGGGCCAGCTTCTGTTGCAACTACAGGCACGACTAGACCCCATAGAGCTTAGCACCTGGTTGGGATAGAGGGAGCCCAGAAAAGTAGCAGCTTGGCCCTGGGTTCCATAGAGTAATACCCACTTAATGTCCAGAGACCAGAAGTGTCTGCGAGCAAGGAGGGAGGGGGATAAAAGAGTTAAGACACACAGTGCATGGCCCACAGAGACCACATGCCCTGAGGGAAGAGATCCTCCATCCCGGTGGGTCCTCAGCCTGGCTCCTGCCTGCCTTTCCCTCAAGTTCATGGCATGGAGGTTACTCATGTGTTCAGCAGTTACCTACTGCGCTCCCCTGAGGTCCAGGCACTGTGCTAGGCAGACCAAATCCCCCAATTCATTTACTCCTCCCTGCAGACCTAGAAGGTAGGTCTGTTTTACTAAAGGAGGCTCAGAGAGGGAAGAGATGTGCTGAATATCACACAGCCAGAAAGTGGCAGAGGCTGAGTCTGAAGCCAAGTTCACTGGACTCAGGGCTTCCCATCATGCAGATGACTAGGTAGGTGTAGAAGTCCAGGGCTGGAGGTCCTTAAGCCAGGCACAGAGGGCAGGGAAGAGGTCTGTGAGCCCTAAAGGACCTCTGAAGGGCATGGTTGGTTTAAACACAGGTTTCACAAACCCCTCCCTGATATCTCCCTCCCCCCCCAAAAATGCCCCATTAGCTGTCCACACACCCCCAGGGACAGTTGACAGCTGGCTGACTACAGACTAATGGGTGGCTGGCAGCAACTGAGGGGCTAGTTAGTTAACCCCTTGGTGACCAGGTCTATCCTAGAAAAACCCTCTCCAGTACTTCAGGGCCTAAAGCCAATGAACTTAGACTTAAGAAGTCATCACAGAGGACAAGATCAAAGGGGCAGCGGCATTTCTTCCCACATCCAGACAACATCCCTGGGACTGCAATTGAACACCTGCATTCACCCAGGCTCCCCAGCCCTAAAGGGCCAAATCCAAACAGCCCGAGGTGGGTGACACTGCCAGCAACCTTTGTTATCTGGCCTTAGGTACAGCATTGCCCACTCCATTGAGGACCACAGGAGCTACGGGCCTTCCCTGAATTTCCAAATCCAGGATACTGGGACAAAACCCACTCCTCAGGGGCTGGGTTGTCCAGAGAAGATGATGGCGACATGGGTTCAGGCAGTCTAGAGGCGAGTCTTCCCCCTGGAGGAGAGGTTGCCCACCCATGTGTTCCTAAGTCTCCCTAAACCTGGACTCCCCACTGGGGATTGACCAACTGCCGTTCCCAGCTTCTTAGAAACCCTCCCCTCCCACCCTAGGGCTGGAGTGAGCACCACCCCTTTTTTATCATAGGGTGGGGGGTCCTCTGGCACCACAATAATGTCACATTGGTAGGAAAGAGTGGCTGCTTTTCAACCAGGGCATGGGCAGGAGGGAGGAAGGCAGGCTGCTTTCCAGCTCCCTTTCCAGGAGGGATTTTAAGCACTTTCCAAAAATGCCATGCGAGGCAAAGCTGTTGAAGCCCAGGGCCCCAGGTGCTGTGAGCATTAGCAAAGAACTCAAGACTGGGGCTCCCAACCCCATTTTCCAGGCTTCCCCAAACATATTCCCCACCCTAGAACCCCTCCCATACCTCAGCCCCCCACCCCAGAGCCATGATACACCCTATGCCCATCCCCCGAGCCTGGGGGGGGTCCCC